AGACTGAGGCAAAAAAGTCGTTGAGTTCCTCAGCCTTCTCCATATCCCAGGTATTTAGGTCTCCCATTTGCTTCCAGAGAGAGTCCACGTTTTCCCTAGTCTTCTTTTTGTCACTGATGTACCTATAGAAGCTTTTCTTGTTGCCCTTGACGTCCCTGGCCAGATTTAATTCTACCAGGGCCTTGGCCTTCCTAACCTGATCTTCCTGGGCCCTTTCTCGGTATTCCTCCCAGGCTGCCTGTCCTTGCTTCCAGCCTCTGTAGGCTCCCTTTTTTTGTTTGTTCGAGTTTGTCCAGGAGCTCCTTGTTCATCCACACAGGCCTCCTGGTGCTTTTGCCTGGCTGACTCTTCATTGGGATGCATCTCTCCTGAGCTCGGAGGAGGTGATCCTTGAATGGTAAATACCAGCTTTCTTGGGCCCCTCTTCCCTCTGGGGCTGTATCCCACGGTACTCTGCCACGCAGTTCCCTGAAGAGGCCAGAGTCTACTCTCCTGGAGTCCAGGCTAGGGAGCTTGCTGTGCTCCCTCCTCGCTGCCCTAAGGATCTTGAACAACAGATCATTTAATCTCCTCTTTTTTCTTCAGATCCGCAGGTTCCCTGGTCTACTCCAACTTCCTACTCTTCTAGTCCTTAAAAAGCAAAATCTAACAAAAGTATAATGCAAAACTAGACACTTCAGATGCATAGATGAGACACATCAGATGATTTGGTTTAGATTAGATACATAACGGCTAATAGCATATAGAGTGCTAACCAGTATTACCTGAAATCAAGGTTGCAGAAGGTAAACTGTGAGCGATGCAATGTTACAACTCCCGAGAACCAAGTTTAGATTTTTTTTTTTTCAGTTAAATTAGGCACAAAATGCGGAAAGATTAGAGTCTAACTTGTCTTATGTAGGCACTGCTTATCTCTATTTGACCACTATCACTAGCAAGAGACTGGAATTAGCTGAAGTCACTGCTCCAAATAAAATAATCACTTTTAAAAGATTAAAGAAGTCATTAACATGGATTGACTTTGCCATGGCAGAAGAGAGCAATGCAATCTGTTCAGTGCTAGTGATCTGGCAAGGACAAACAAAATTAGTCTGACACCCGAGTAGAAAAGCAGGGACTTGCAGATGCTGACTGCAGTGTCCAAACTCACAAGGACTTTTGAAGTGACAATGGTTCCAGAGGGAACATTCTATATGCAGCACTTGACTACAGCTTTTTCTCCATGATCACACTTGATACTTAAAAAATTCTCGGCAAGAATCCCAATGGTTTTACCAATATCATTCTTAATCCTCAACAACTTAAAAAAAAAAAAATCTGTTCCCCCAGAGGAGGGTGGAGTTCTGAAAATATTTGTGCATCAGCTATAGAGAGAACTGATAAGCTCAGCAATAGTTCAGGAGCCTTAAGATAGTTTGGTACATCAAGTCCCACTTCTGAAAGGGTGAGACAGACAAAGAATCTATATTCAGGAAGAGACCTCTAGTAGTCAGAGACAAAAGACCACAGGATCTAGACACAATTCAGTCTCGAAATTAGGAAAGAAAGATTTGCAAATTCTAACTTTGCTTCTTCGCTTGACTTTATCCACACACAATCCAGTTTGTTTACATGTATTTGGTATGAAGTTTTGCTTGCAAGGAAACATTTTTGTCATTGCTCTTTTTCTAGACTATATGAAAATCTTATTACTCGGCATCTGTGTGGGCAGAAAGAACTCTTCAGTATGGAACTATTACCCAGGTCTATATTTGTGTTCTTACTCCATCCCATGAGAGTATTGAAGAAGATTATTTTCTCTTGAAACCATATCAGATAATATTCAGATAATTACAACTCAACAAAGAAAGAAAACAGAAGAACTGACAAAAATAATTTCAAGTCCTCAGATCAACAAAATACATTCAGCAAACTTCACAACTGTCAGATGCAGAAATCTAGCTCTTTCTGAGTGACTGTCTATTGACTTCATAAAACAGTGTAGCAGAAAAACAAGACCATATATGCCAAAGCACAGGAGAGCACAATGCTAATAGCACAACCAGTCTGTTCAGCTGTTATACTTGGGACAGAAAAAGGAAAGCAGTATTGGTCAAGGATACCTGTTGCATCTCCTGCATATGGCTACATTCCTATTTCTTTATTATCCAATAATGAAAAGGCCTTTCCGTAAAGCAAACCAGAAAACAGATGCTATGAATTTAACCATGAGAAACACTGCTGAATTTCCTGGCGTCTATAGGGCTGAAGTTTCAATACTGACTGATGTGGAATAAATAGTCATTAAAAACTCTCAATAAAGAACAGTGTGAAGAGCTTTAAGTTCTGTCTGATCTTCCAAATCCTATTCCTGACACTAGAGTGAGCTAAAAACCTCCTCTCCTCATACTTGCACTTTCTATTAACAACTTAAAAAGTATTTTTGCAGAAATCTGCATAGCACTCACTAAAGCCATCTGAAGAATCACCTTGATCACAGACAGACCATCACAAATCCATGCAACTCTTGAAGGAGGCTCTGCAGACTGGCCTTATAATCATTAGAGATAGCAGAATAACAAGCATTATTCCTCTCTAAGTGGCTTCATAACACTTGCCTCCTACTGTGCTGTAGGTTTGAACAACAACAACAAAAAAACCACAAACAAACAAATCGAACTGCACATCTTCCCGTAGATTTAGCACTCCCCCCTCTTCTGCTCAACAACGTATTCCCCTGTTTTCAGAACAGCATCATATTCCCATAATATTCCCAGCAGCTTTCTAGATCCTCATCGCAACCAGCCACTTTATGAAAAAAAAAAAAAACAAAAACAAAACCAAATCAAACAAAACCACATTTAGATATACTTAAAAATTGTTTCTCCTTCTTTCAGTCCAGGCTCAATTCCAACTGATTCTAAACCACCTGATGTATTTCTTACATTTCATCTGATTTAGGTGCTTATGCCAGAGCAGGAAGCATGCTTGAGTCCACCTAACATTAAATAAGGCTTTCCTCATCACTCCAGCTCAATGGTTAAAAATCCAGTCAAAGCATGGTTTATGAACACCTTTTGTGAAGCTGATAAAGCTCACAAATACTGGATAGGTTTCGTTTTGCAATGGATCCAATACAAATTGTAGGTTGTAAGTACTGAACCATCTTACAAGGTGCTATAGGCTAGTACAGAGAAAGTTGACATGTTTCATGGCAGTTGGTCACAATAAAATTATCAAATTTCACACTGATAAAGGTTAAGAATAATTCCCCTTACGGTTCCAGGAATCATTCCTCAAATTTACAACAATAATAAAAGAAATTCTGACTTCACTCAAAACTGTCCTATTTGTAGATGCACAAGTGCTCAGGCCTGTCTCTGGGTGCAGTATGTGGGAAACCTCTGCCAAGAAGCTTGACCTGGTGCATCCTTACAGGCACTGAGAAGACATGTGGGAACTGGGATAACACAGAAATGGGACTTTAGGAAAACCTGAAGAAATGAAGGCAACAAAAGAAGGGAAGCCACAAGAAAGAATCATTGTCGTGAAGAGTGGGGACAAAGACAATGCACCTGTAGCAAACTATTGGCTTCATCAGTACCCACTGCTGTTGAAAAAGGTGTTCACAGTCAATTTCAAAGCCAAGGTTAAGCTTCAAAATTAAAACCAAGTTAAATCCATAAAAGAAGATGTCAAGGCAAATACGCTTTCCATGCTGCAGTGCTACGGACTGTTAGAAATTCAGTCAGGACTCCTTCACAACCACAGTGAACAATGACAGGAAACACATATTTGCAGTAAATGAAAATTGATCTCTACTAGGTTATTTTGTTACCCTGACATCCTTAAGCATTGAACTTTCATTTTATGATCAAAAAATTATCAGGATTCATAGCAGTGAAAAAACCCAGGACCAAGCCTCCAAGTTCGGGAGGTGGGGAGAGGAATCTCACAATAGCATTACTGCTCTCTTTATGAAAACGTTATGGAACACTTCACACACGTAAAATTTAATAAAAAGAGATCACAAAAAAAAAATTTACAGCTTCCAAAGTCACAAATATGCACAGAAGTCATCTATATGAGATATCACATATCTATTATAACACATTGTTCATTCTAGCAAAAAAAAAAAAGTAGACAGATTTAAAATTTGAACACTGCATGGCCTTGAGGCCACGATATGCACAGCCAAAGGTGTTAGAAGGACATCCTGGCCATAACTCCCTCTAGGTCAAATTCAGTAAATCCAAGAATGCAGCATATTCATTCAGTTCTCTTGTGTGTATGCATTATAATACAGTCCTTCATTATATCCTCAAACTGATATTTTCATTCAAGATCCCTGCTTTTAAACATTTTGCAGAATTGACAGGGCTCACTTAATCAGCAGCTTTTTCAAATGTTCAGCTGAACACAACCATGCAAGTACGGCCCCAGGAATCTGACTTACTGTAACCTCTGAACCTCTTGAAGGGAGGTTCAAGATTTTTTTCTTTACTTCTGTGCTCATCTGTTCAGTTCATACATGTCTCAAAACATTAATGAGCTTAGTTAAGAATGCGCCTGTAAGGTGTACAATTACTATACTATTTTGAAAATGGAGCCAAGGAAGACAGATTAATTTTGAGAGTATTTAGCAACTCAAAATTAGAAGTCTAGTTCCCATGTACTTAATTTTCAGCATAACATTCAAGATCGACCCTGTGGTGTCAACTCAAGAATACATACCACAGTTTCTCATACTTTTCTCATGTACATCGTAGAATGTAATTATTTTCAGCTTCATTTAGTTTGCTGCTTTAACTTATTGAAGGTCCCCTCAAGCAGTTTTATGGACCTAATATGGCAGGGGAAGAAAAAGCAGTGCAGAACTTCTCAATCCAGCACTGCTGCCAAGGAAGTGTTACTGTAACATACTTTCAAGAGAAACATTTGTGTGAAAAGTTTAGTTTAAGCAATGTATTTAGCATCACTGAGAAATTCTGTAGCAGAAGCAGGAACAAAGTCCAACTCACCATGGTAGGTTCTACTTGCAAAAATCTCCCTTCTCTCCTGCATGCCCTAACTCATTTTGGTGAAGCAAATGAGGCAGGCATCCACACCAGTAAACCCACTTTCTCCCTAGAAAAAGGACAGAAGTCAGCAAGTAAACGGCCATTTACAGTAGCTGATAATCAGCTAAACACCACTTATTTATCAAACGTATTGTTCAATTCACTGTCCTTACTGAGGTTATTACTATGGGGATCTTCCATTTAAGTCTCACAATGGCTGCACCATGTTATTACAGAATGAACTGTTAAGAAATATAAAAGCAAAGAACTACACCCAAAACAGAGCTTCTGCTGTGACAAATTAAATGTTGCAGCAGTTTCACAAGGCAATGATATGACTGATTTTAGGAATTTATTTAGTATCCAAGCTTTAGAAAGCACAGATAAAGATTCATTTAATGAGCAACACTGCATCATCCATCAGCTCTATGTTGCCACAGGCAATAGGCATGCTGTTAGCTTGTTAATAATTTTAGTTGGTTTCTTTGGCTGGCTATACTTAATTGTCAACCAGAAAACGAATTAAATTTTTGTTTTCTTTGCAGGGTCCTAATGCTGAGCATTTCAAAAAAACTAAATGACAGATGCTAATTTGGGGAGTGGAGAGAATGTTTATAGCTACTTACAGCAATGAGGTAGGAAGGCCCCTGTTTCTGTTTCTAATATGTTTACCTATTTAGGAAGGCAGGAGGCAACTGTCCAACTGATTTTACTTCTGATTTTGAAGCTCTGCAGTATCATGTGCCTGTGAGAATGGAGAAAAGACCAGAATATATTTTACTGTCTTACTCCAAAAGTGACACCGGGAAGTACTGCTCTACATCCATTTATCATTCCCATCGCACACCCTAACCCTGGAATGTTAATCTGCAGCACTATTACAGAGAAAGAATTTCCTCCTTTCTTCCAGCTTTGACCATTCCCAAGATCGTTGTAAGCACATCAGTACCTCACGTTGAGATCACAATAGCTTTTCCACCAAGAACTTCAGCCAGAGCCCAATCCAATTCAAATTAAACAAAAGAAACATTCATTATCAACAGAGAGGAAGCTCTCTGGAGGGAAACAGTCTGAATACTGGCACATATTAACCTAGACATAAGGATTCTAAAAGGTAACATGATAAACCCAAATGGTAGACCTTAAGATTGAGATTGCTTTGCCACTGCAGAGGTACATACATCAGATGACAGCTGCTTAGGAATGCAGCCCCCTTACTGTTTGGTTCAGAGAAACAAAGGCTGTATACCTCAAAATCCAGTTTAGAGGGCTAGTTTTTCCACCAGTTTGACTGTACATTCCATGTCAATGACAGAACTGAGTAAATTATTCCAGATGATCCAGAATATTTAGTCCCTTTCTACTCATGAAACATTAGATTTGCAGATCGAGATTTACTGATTTTGTTGGAAAAAGTTGTTAAAACCAACCAACAACCACCCAACAGCAACAAAGCATTGTAGACAGATCTACAAAAATCCTCAATATCAATTAAATTAACCATTAAGCTTAGATTTGAGTTGTTTAAAGAGCTATATGATAATGTTTTGGTTCCTGGCTGGATATGTGAGCATGTTGTAGTTTATCTGGCTTTTTATCTGGTTTACATGTCAAGAGAGCAAAAGTTACCAGCACATACTCTTTTAAAACCTGTTTAGTGATACTCTGCCCATATATTATTCTTTCTGGCCCTGACTAAAGTCTGCTTTTCTATTAGTCTAAGTGTCATTAATCAAGCTCTTAAAACATTATCTCTTGTAAATTTTTTACGGCTTTCATTCTTATACTTACTTTCTCCCAATTCTTTGAATATTTCATTCCCCCTAGTTACAACAAATTACACTTTCTTACCTATATACAATTTGCTTTTTCTTAAAAAATTCATATATATATATTTATATTTACTTGTATATTTGTGTAAGCAAATCCACATATTTGCTAAACATTCATTTCATTAAAAGGCAGACCAACAAACTCTATTTTCTATTTTCCTTTCTCACTCTCAGCCATATTTCTCCTACTATATGTTGTTGCACAAATTTATTTCACTATAACACACCTCAACTAGTCATTTCTAAAGCTGTTAGACACTATCCACTTTTCAAGTTCAGTTGAATTTTCACCTGGTTAACTCTTCTCAGCCACCTAGAAATGCTGTCTAAGTTCACTTTTCTGTGGAATTCCACTGAAACGGGAAAACGGCTATGGTAACCGACTGGAAAGAACTAAGTCTCCTCCACATTTACTCACAGAGTATTTGGAAGTGTTGGTTATCAGAAGAATAACATATTTAAGGTGTGGAAAATGAACATGCAACTCCATGCAGTCGGGAACTTACATGAACATTTTTACAAATGTCTACTGAAGTCCCCAGGCAAAACCGTACTTACATTTTTGACTAAAGTTATCACACCTTTGATTCCCAAAAATTATAAGAAACAATCCAAAATACCAAATTAAGATAGGTTTTTAAGAGATTGTCTAGATACTTTTTGCACTCTTGCATAGGTCTTTATTTCAGACTTCTAGATCAAAACATTACTGAAACTTCACTTCAATTTCACTGTAGTGTTTATATTGTTATGTGCAGATTATACAAGTAGGCATAATTGCACTAAAACTCTCGCGGCTGAAGAATGCTGCTCAAGTGTGGAGGGTTGACCCTGGCCAAAAATGCCAGGTGCCCACCAAAGCCACTC